TCTCTCTCTCTCTCTCTCTCTCTCTCACACGCCCAACCAAGAAGAATGCGCGCAGCGCTTCGCTCTTTGAAAGCGCCGTCCGCAGCTCGAAATTTTAGATTTTTGTTAGATTGTGCGTGACTCGCGCCTCCGGGGTTAGCCCGAGGCTTTGCGGCGCCCGTAACCTCCGAAAGGCCGCGGCCATCATCCACTGCCGCACCAACTCCATCACTCTGCCCGCAATCCTCACCGTGATGACCTTATATCACCATGGTCCATTAGCTAACCTGAGAAAGGCCCTACAAACTCACGTCATAACCACGAGTGAACAGCCGCGGACGGAGTCCATCCCAAAAACTCCCATCGCGTGTGTTCAATCGCAGTCTCATTGATCCTTTCCACAATGACAAGCAAACAAGCCAAGTGAGATTCAAAGATGAGAAGCTACTCCATATCGAGCAGCGCCATCTCCTCGTCGCTGTCGATCATGTCGTTGGTCACGCGCGCCTTCTTGGTCCTCTTCTGCGTCGCAGCCTTCTTGGCGCTCGGCTCGCCGTCGTCGTCGCTGCTCTCGTCAAACACTGCCTTGCGGCTCTTGCTGACGCTCTCCTCGCCACTGCCCGCGTCGTTGTCGTCCTCGTCATCGGTATCGCGCGCCTTGGCACGCTTGAGGCTCTTGCGTCGCTTCTTGCCGCTCTCGCCCGTCGACTTGCGCGTGCCCTTCTTCTTGCTCTTGGCCAGCTTGGACAGCTTGCTCGACTTGCCGCTGCGCGTTCCACCCGCCTCACCGCCCTCCTCGGCAAGAAGCTTGGCGCCGTTGCGGATGATCTCGTCGTCGCCATCCTCGTCGTCGTTGTTGTCGCTGCTCTCGCTCCCGCTCGCCGCACCGCCGAAGAGCGCATCGTCGTCGCTCAAGCCCGACTCGCTCGACTCGGCAGACTTCTTGGCCGCCTTCTTCTTCTTCTTGCCCGCAGCACGCTTGCGCTTGCGTCCCTTGTCCGCCGTCGCGTCCGGTGCATCTTCCTCGCCCGATGTAACGTCGTCCCGCTTGGCTCGACGGCGCGGCTCCTTCTCGGGAGTCGCCTCGCGCAGGTACTCGATCTTGGCCGCTTCCTCGCGCAGCGCCTTGCGCTTCTCCGCCATCTGCTCCACCTGCGCACGGTACTCTTCCTCCTTGCGCATGCGCTCCTGCTCGCGCGCCAGCTCCTTCTCGCGACGCGCCAGCGCCACCGCCTCCTTGTGCTTCTGCACCTCGGCCTCGTAGCTCTCCTGATCCGCCAGCGCCGCCGTCGCCCTCTGCACCAACGAAGACGCGCCGTACTTGCCGCGCTGCTCCACAATCTCGGGCGTCATCCACAGCAGCTGCCCGCGCCGAGCCGCCTCCAGCAGCGCTCCCTCCTTGCCTAGAGGCGTCTGCTGCGGCGAGCTCGCATCGGCGGGCGCCACCAGCAGCGGCTGCACCCGCTGCACCGCCGCCATGGCATCGCGCAGCGCCTGCGCCGTCTTGCGGTCCTTCTGCAGGTCAAACAGCATCTGCAAGCCCTTGTGCGCCGTCACGGCATAGTTGTACTCGATCTGGCGGCACTCTGGATGGCCCTCGCCGCGCTCGTGCATCAGCAGCGCACGCGCCTCCTCCAGATGCGCCAGCGAGCTCTGCAGGCTCGCAAACGACTTGGTCTTCATCCCGATCGCGTACTCGGCGCGCGCCACGTACTGCACCACCGCCGCCTTGGCCGCCCCCACCGAGCGCCGCGCGGCCAGCTCGTACGACTTGTGCGCACGCTCGTACTCCTCCTTCTGCATGAGCACGTGGCCCATGCACACGTGCACGCTCGGCTCGTCGCGCACCTCGCGCAGCTTGCCCAGGATCGCGAAGGCCTCGTCGGCGTTCTTCTTGCGTCGCTCCTCGGGCGCCCCGCCCAGCACGCCGGGCAGCGTCACCGAGGTGCCGCCCGCCATCTCGGCAAAGGCATCCTCGGCGAGCAAGATCGCCATGCCCTGCGCCGCAAACGCACACCGCGCATCCTCGGCCAGCGCCTTGTCCATGAGATCCGTGGCGCGCGTCATGTTCTTGCTGCGCTCCGCCTTGGCCGTCGGTCCGGATGCGTGGATGGCCAGCTGGTAGTACGTCCAGCCGAGCGACGCGAGCGTGTGGGCGTCGCGCCTGCCCGCCTCCGTCGCCGCCTTGGCAGCCGCCGCACCCCCAAACGCTGCGTGCGCCGCCTTGTCGTTGGCACTCGCAAACAGGCGCGCGGTAAACTCCTTGATCGCCGCCCAGGCCGGCGTGGGGCTCGCTGCGAACTCGCCGGCCAGGAAACAAATATACGTGGCGCGCGTGTCCAGATTGCCCGGGTCCGAGTCGAGCGCCTCCTTGAGCAACGCATTCGCGGCATCGCGCCTCGCCTTCATCTTCGCTGCGGCCTCTGCGCCCACGGCGTCAGTGGGCACGTGCGCCACGCTGAGGATCGCCAGACGCACCTTGGCGTCAATGTACTCGGGATGCGCGCCGAGCAGCGCATTGTACGCCTGGCGCGCGACGTCGAGGTTGTCAGCCTCCTCGTTGGCGCGGCCGAGGTTGTACGAGGCGATGAGCTTGACGGCGTCGACGGTGCGCTGCGCCTCGAGCCTGGCCGTGGTGGTGGCGGAGGCAGCCGTGGCGCCAAACGCAGTCACGGCGTCGGCAGCAGCAGTGACGGCAGACTCGAGGCGCGCGATGGCGCGCTGCAGCAGCCAGGAGCGTTCCTCGTCGCGCTGCGGGTCCGCTGCGGGGATGTCGGTGGCGCGCATGGCAAGCACGGCGCCCAGGCACGTCTCGAGGCTGGCGAGCAGCGCGACGTTGTTGGCGCTCTCGTCGTCGTGGATCTTGCCGTCGTCGGCGCTAGCGCCAGCCTTAGCTCTGGCGAGCTCGAGAGCCTCTGCGTACGCCGAGGTGGCGCGCGCGAGGTCCTCGGTCTGAAGCAGCTCTGCAAATTCGACGCGCGTGAGCGGGTCGGCGCCCAGACTGGCGATGGCCTCGAGCGCGGACTTGGACAGATCTTCGGTGCGGATGGCGAGCGAAGCTTTTGCGAGCGCAGGTGGCACGTCGGTAGCCGCATCTGCCGTAGCCACGGATGTCTTGGTGGCGTCCGGCAGCTCGTCGGGCTGGGTGAAGAGCGCCTGATGGCCAAAGGCGTCGAGTTTGGCGGCCTCGATGAGGCGGAGCGTGCGGTCGAGCATGATGCGAGCGCGCTCTGCGTCGTCGCGTCGTTCTGCGGCGGTGGCACCGGGATGCGACTGTGCGCGCAGGCTGGCGGCGAGCAGCGAGAGCTCGACGGTCTGCGTAGCCGAGACGGAGCTGGCGGGTCTGGTGGAAAGCACGTCGAGCGTGTTGATGGCAGCGAGCGGATCGCGATTGGCGACCTGGCACTGGGCGAGGCCGAGACTGGCGAGGGAGAGGAAGAGGTTGAGCTGCGCGCTGTTGGGCGCACTGGCGGCGGTGGCGCTGGAGAGGGCGCGGGTGACGTCTTCGACGACACGCTGGTAGTATCGCTGCGCCTGGAGCCTGAGCTCGGGCTGGGTGGCGTTGATGGTGAGCTGGGAGGCGAGGTGGGCGGCGCGGGCGTAGATGAGCTGTGCGTGGTTGACGCCGACGCGCGCCTCTGCATACTGGATCGCGTGTTCTCCGAGCTTGAGTGCGGTGGCGTAGTGTGCCATGGCGGCCTGTTCGACTTCGATGGTGGAGCCGGGCTGGCTCTCGGCCTGGGCGGCCCTGTTGATGAAGTACTCGCACATGGCGACGGCGGCGGTAGCGTTCTTCTTGTCGAGTTTCCAGCTCTGCTGAAGGCTTTGCATGCCCTCGGTGTAGGCGAGCTCGCGGGCTTCTTCCTCGGATCGGTCTACGTGCGCGCCAAAGGTGCCGGGGACGAGGCGTGCGGTCTGCTTTGCGAGGTTGAGGCTGGAGATGCCGAGGAGGAGGTGAGCGGCGGCGTTGTTGGCGTTGACGTGGACGGCGCGCTTCCAGGCCTTTCTGGCGGCGTCGTGGTGGCCGAGACCCCAGAGGCAGAGGCCGATGCCGACGCGAGGGTCGGGGCCGCGCCAGCCGAGGATGTCTGCGTTTTCGTTGGCGTTTGCCTGTACGAGCAGGCTGACCTCGAGCGCGTTCTGGTAGAGCTTGAGGGCGGGGGCGTACTGGCGCTTGCGGAGGAGGATGCAAGCCTTGCCGAGGAGGGCGAGGGCGTGCCTGGGGTTCGCGTTGAGGATCGCATCGAAGACGACGAGTGCGCCTTCGTTCTGACCTGTGGTGGTGAGGAAGATGGCGCGGGAGAGCTGGTTGATGTGATGTTTTGGATCGAGCGCGTTTGCGGGCGATTGGGCCTGGTTGGACCGCCTGTAGAGGTCGTCCTTGATCTGCTGACTGCCGAGGCGCTGGTACCTGGCATCGTTGAGGATGAGCTTGGGAGCGGTGCGCGCGCTGTTGAGCGACACGGCGGCCAAGAATGCGCGCAGCGGGATGGTCTCTGCGGGCTTGTAGGATTCGAGTACCTGGACGCCCTTGGACGCTACTTGTACCGCCTCGTCGATGCGACCTTCGATGAAGAGCTGGGACGAGAGGCGAGTCCAGTACTTGGAGGCGGGACGCTCGTAGGCGAGCGCCTCGAGGAAGACCTGCACATCCTCTGCGGGAGGGAGCGGGTCGAGGTCGAGCGAGATGGACTCGTTGACGGCGACGGGCAGATCGAGCGTCCTGTTGCGCGGCGGCATGGTGGATGCAGACGCTTTGCCGGCGAGCTAGGGTAGCTAGGGTAGCTAGATGACAGCGGCAGCAAGGCGACCAACGCGAGATGAGGATGATGGAGGGTTGTGAGAAGAAGGGCTCAGCCTTGGCGCGCGTTGGGAGCATCCGAGCGCACCGCGCTTCAGCTCTTCCGAAGACCAGCCAAAAGCAGCCAAAAGCAGCCAAAAG